CCTTTTTTAAGTTGTCGATAGGAGACGTGTTGATTCGCCCATGCCCTGTTGGTGCCCAGCCCCTGCCCCCGCTGCCCCCCTGCCCCGGGTTGAGCGTGTATAACGGAGCCCCCAGCTCGGCCCAGCCGGTGCCAGCGCCCATGTGGGGACGGGGCCTCGTGCCCACCAGCTCCACCCTGTCGAGCTTCGAGTATTTTGCACGAATCAGAAATTAACAAGGCAATAAGCGACGCTGGGGTGAGGCTCCGGATGGCTGTGCGCCCCCTGCCCAGGCGCTTGGCCCAGAGCCCGGGCTGCTGCGGGGCCGAGGGCAGCCTGGGCCCGTGCAAGCCCCCTCTTCCACCACCGCACTCGTGGCACCCGGCCCCTGCCTTCCCCGCAAGACCCGTGGGTGTTGCCACAGGCTGGGACCCCCACCCTGCCCCTCCGCCCCGCTTTGCCCTGCTCAGTCCCTCGGTCCTGCCCCCGTTTTTTTGGAAGCACAATTCTGTACCGGCGACGTGCTCATGTATGTTAATAAACAAACGACTCTGCCTGCGCCTGCTCCCTGGCTCTCGCCGGCCCGAGCAGTGCCTGGCCTGGCCTGGCCTGGCGTGGCGTGGCATGGGGGGCATGGAGGAAGTCAGGTACTGGGGGTGGGGCTGCATTCGCAGAGGAATGGGATCTGTGCCAACCCCCGTGGCCAGCTCCCCAGGACTGATGCTGCTTGGCAGCCCCCACCTTCCCCGAGTGCCACTCTGACCCCCCGCCCCTGCCTGATCTGCTTTCTGTGTCCGCCCTGTGTGCCCCATCTGAGCTGCTGCTCTGCTTTTTGCTCCCTGTCTTATCTGATGCTCTATTTACCACTTGTCTGCTCTGCTTTCTGCACCCCACCCCGTGCTCCCCACCTGATCTGCTGCTCTTATTTCTGTGTCCTGGCCCATCTGCTGCTCTGCTTCCCACTTCTTGTCTGAGCTGCTTTCTGTTCCCCACCTGATCCACTGCTCTGCTTTCTGCACCCTGTCCAATCCAGTGCTTTAATCGTCACTTCTTTTTCGCTCAGTGCCCTGTGCTCCCTGCCTGATCTGCTTTCTGCACCCTGCCTTGTGCTTCCTGCCTGAGCTGCCGCTCTGCTTTTTGTTCCCTGTTTAATCTGCTGCTCTGCTTTCTGCTCTGTGTGTGATCTGTTTTCTGCTCCTCTGCAGCCTGTTTCCTGCCAGATCAGCTGTTTTCCACCCCCTGTCCCATGTGCTGTGGCGCTGCCTGTCCCATCCCTGGTCTTCCAAGTCCCTGTGGGCCCGTGTCCCCATCGCGCCCCCCCCAACATGCACGCGTGCGCGCGGAGCTATACCTAGATGCCTGGCAGCCCTGTGTTGCTCCTCCCACCCCCGCGTCGCCAGAAACAATGATGATGATAATTTTAAAATTACCATTTTCAGGCCGCCTTTCTGGCGGGCCCTGGACAGCCACACGGTTCGCCCATGCCTGGTGCAGCTCTACATGGAGGCCTTTGGCCAGTTCCCACCCAGCCCACCGCAAAAAGCCCTGCCTGGACCAGCCTTCCCCCCAGCCTGAAGTCTTGTAGCCTTTCAGTGGCTCCAGGCCTGGCCACTGCACCAGCCCTGGGGCGCCCGGCCCACGCACGGGAGGTACAACGTGGCCTCCCCAGGCGTGGCCCGTGGCAGGAGGCTGGGCGCCGCCTGGCCCTGATGGCGTGCCTGCTCGGGCAGGACCAAGCTGTGCTCTGCCGGGTGCTTTTACTGAGCCCAGCGCTGGGCAATGCCAAGCCCCTGACAAAGACAAACACAGACTGACCCCATCCGCGGTGTCCCAATCAGTTAAAGGGTCAGAGATTTGCGGCTGGGCCAGGCCGTTGCCAGCTGTGGGGGGCAGTGCAGGACCCGAGCGCAGGATGCAAGGGCAGGCTGAAGGGTCACAGGGGGAGGGGCTGGCACAGCACAGCTCCGATCCCAGTGCGTGGGGCTGGGTGGAGGCAGGGCAGGGGCAGGGTCTGGGCAAGCCAAGCCAGGAGACGGCTGCATGCCCCCCCTCGTCCTGGGCACGGGGCCTGAGCCAGGCATTGTAGGGCCCATGGGGAGGCAGGACTGAGGTAGTAAGTCTGACCAACCCTGCGGGGGTGGCATGGGCCAGATCCAGGCATGCGGGGCCTGTGGTGGGAGGGCAGGGTCGTGGGCTCAGCAAAGGGCCTGATCCCAGAGCATGCAGCTGGCCTGCGGCCGCCTGGGGTCCCTCTGGGGTGCATGGGGACAGCGCAGGCAGGCTCTGGGCTCACGAAGCCTGCAGACGGCCACGTGGGGAAGATTTGATGTCGTCAGGATTGCGGCATCCGCTGGGCGCTGTGGGCCGCCGGCGGTGCGTAAAGGCCTCTGGACCGCCCCCAGAGACAGTGCAGCGGTAGCGGCCCCCGGCGGGGACGGATCCAGGCTGGCCACTGCTGCGTCAGGCGACCGGCACCGTGACGGCATCAACTAATAAAAGGTGGACGGCACGTCAGCGTGGTGTTGGCACTCACCGGTCTTTTCTTCACAGTCAAAAGGCTAAAAGCGTAATGGTTAAAAGGCCAAAAACCGCGCGGTGGGGCTGCCGCTGGGGGGGGCGACCAGCGCCTTAAGAACACCAATAAATTACAGGGGACAACAAAAGAGCAAACAGGGCGTGCACTGGCAGGGGCACAGGGCCAAAACAAGTGCTCCCCGGGGGACACCGCACAGAGACTCTGCACAGCGCCCACCGCTCACGAACTTGGAGAGCTCGCCAGCTGCTACTGCCCAGCGGTGCCCTGCCTGGCACGGGGGGCCTGCTCCTGCGCACAGGGTCCCCTCCAGGCTTGCGGGGCAGCACAGGGCCCAAGCCCCATGTGCAAGGCCAGGACAAGGCCTCATGGGCCTAACCAGGGCCCCCAGGGCGGGCCAGGGCAGCGGAGGCATGCCCAGGGCGCCCAGGGCTGAGAGGGTGCTGAGGCGGGTGTAATGCAGGCCGGGCCCAGGGGATGTGGGACCCAGCTGAGGCTCCCCAGGCTGGCTCTGGCCATGGCAGCCCCTGCCCCTGCCCCAGCTGCGCCTTCCCTCCTGTCACTGGGGAGGGGCCATGGTGCAACCAAGTGGGTCGTGCCCACCGCCCCCCACGTCCACACACTCCCCCCTGAGCCAGCACTGCCTGCGGTGCCCCACGTGGAGCCGGGCC